TAAACTCGCAATTGCGAGTTATAAAGTCAGAATTGCGAGATATAAAGTCAGAATTCTGACTTTTTTTCTCAGAATTGCGTGATAAAAACTCGCAATTCTGACTTTTTTTTCTCGCAATTGGGAGTTTATATCTCGCAGTTCGGACTTTTTTTCTCAGAATTGTGAGATATAAAGTCACAACTGAGATATAAAGTCACAATTGCGAGATAAAAACTCGCAATTCTGACTTTTTTTTCTCGCAATTGGGAGTTTATATCTCGCAGTTCGGACTTTTTTTCTCAGAATTGTGAGATATAAACTCGCAATTGCGAGTTATAAAGTCAGAATTGCGTGATATAAACTTGCAATTGCGAGTTAAAGTCCAATTTTGATGGGGGGACTGATATGTTTATATCTCACAATTCTGAGAAAAAAAAAGTCAGAATTGTGAGATATAAACTCGCAATTGCGAGAAAAAAAGTCAGAATTGTGAGTTTATATCACGCAATTCTGACTTTATTTCTCAGAATTGCGAGTTTATATCTCACAATTATGACTTTTTAACTTGCAATTGCGAGTTTATACCACGCAATTCTGAGAAAAAAGGTCAGAATTGCGAGTTTGTATCAGGCACTTCTAAGAAAAAAAGTCAGAATTGTGAGATAAAAAGTCGCAATTACCTCTTTTATTTTTTATTCAGTGGCGGAAACGGGCTTCCATACAAAACTGATGACACACGTCAGAATCTTAGGATGATATGAACAAGAGCACAGGTGATTATGTGTTTTGGAAAATGAAACCTGGTAGTGGGAGATGGATGGATGGATGGAGGGATGGATGGAAAAGGAGTAGGAGTAGGAGGGGAAAATAAAAATGAAGGGGATGAGGTCAAAGGTCATTTGTTCCTGATGAAATACAAAGCACTATAGTTGACCATGTTCTTCTGCATGGACTGACCATGAGGGAAGTTGGCCTACAGGGCAGGCTCATCTACAGGGTTTCAATACTACTTACACATACAATATAATTACAGTACATAGTAGCAGTACTTCAGATGAGAGAACTTTCATTATTCTATGTACAGTAAATACTGTAGCACATGTTGTACTCATTACTGTTGAATTAATTTGTAGCCAAGTAGTCCTTACATGTGCTCTATTTTTTGCAGAACTGAGAGACGACTGTCTAGGGGAGGCAGAAAAGTCTTTTGTCAGAAGACTAAGAAACTGCTATAACTACAGTAATAAGGACACTACCAATAATGTAATGCAATTTGGCAGAGGATGCTGAATGGATGGATGAATGAATGAATTTTTTATTCCAATGTGTGTTTACTGTATATTCAGTTGTTTGGTCTTTGAACTTTTCTCTTGTAGTGCTTTTCATCTACTGTAAGATCTATTTACAGTAGTGTAAAGAAAGTAAACTTTTCTTACAGCTTGTTGCTGAATTTTACTGTATCTGTGCCCCACTATTTATGTTGTATACTGTAACAGACATTGACTAGCAAAAGGATTCCTGTTTCCCAAAAGGAGGTTTTTGTAACAGTGTTTTGAATTGATCTCACTAGTGTTCTCTAGGCAG